GTGTAGTGGTGTGTCTCTGTATCCCAGATACTCAAGCGACTGAGGTGGGAGCATGACTTGAGCGTGGGGGTTTGAGGCTGCCATGAGGTATGATTGTGCCACTACACCCTAATCTAGGCCACAGAGCAAGAACCTGTCTCAAAAACAAATGTTTTCACTGGCCCAGCACTTTGGGAAGCTAAGGTAGGAGGATCGCTTGAGCCCGGGAGGTCCAGGCTGCAGTGACGTATGATTCTACCACTTCACTCCAGCCTGCAAGTCTGTCTGTTTTTCTTTTTCTTTCTTTTTTTTTTTTTTGAGACGGTGTCTTGCTCTGTCGCCCAGGCTAGAGTGCAGTGGCACAATCTCGGCTCACTGCAGCCTCCGCCTCCCAGGTTCAAGCGATTCTCCTGCCTCAGCCTCCTGAGTAGCTGGGACTACAGGCATGCACCACCACGCCCGGATAATTTTTGTATTTTTAGTAGAGGCAGGGTTTCACTATGTTGGTCAGGCTAGTCTTGAACTCCTGACCTCGTGATACACTCGCCTCGGGCTCCAGAAGTGCTGGGATTACAGGTGTGAGCCACCATGCCCGGCCGGTTCTGTCTCAAAAAAAAAAAAAAAAAAAAATTAAAAAAAGAAAGAAAAATCAGACCTTGGCAATCACCTTGAGCAGTAAAAAAAAAATAACTCTTCCTTGGGAGCCTCAGCCCCCCCCCCCCCCCCCCCCGCCACTTTGACAGTGAGTATTGCTTGGGAGCCTGCACCGGGCACCTGTGGCCAGAGGGTGAGTGTAACAAGGGGCTGCAGGCCTCAGTGCTCTCCCATCCCAAGGGAGGCCAGGAGGCTGTGGTGGGTCCCTCAGGTGGGGCTGGAAGGCCAAGCTGGCCCTGGCACCTTGGGCAGCCTGACTTGGTCCTGGGAACAGAAGTCACAAGCTCTATTTCTCCTGTCCGCGTGGGATTGAAGCCAAGGGTCTCACAGAACCAGCTGATGTGCTGGGGCTTCATTCCGCCAGGACATGGACACAGACATTGATGGGGCAGAGCCCCAGAGGGAGGAGTCCCCGGACACTCACTCCACCAAAGGTACCTCCTCGTGGAAGCCGTCTGCCAAGCCCTGCTAGTTCCCCACAGCCCTGGGTCGGCCCAGGGAAGACTGGGCTGCAGTGCCCCCATTTGGAGGTGAAATGGGAGTGGAATGTAGTTGGGGTGGCCACAGAGTAGGAGACACCGAAAGTGTGAGATGTGGACAGGGCTGAACAGGCTCCAGGGTCTCTTGCCCCCGTAGCCTCCACCTGGGATGCCCTCTCCAAGTCTCATTTCTCCTCAGAGCCCCTGCCCTGTCCTCCAGAGTCTGAGCCCTCGCTCCCACCCCTGCCTAACCTGGGCCCCAGTGGTCCCTGGGAAGCAGCTGTTTGCCCAGCAGTTGGGAGCTGTGCTCTAAGAAGCAGTTGGCCAGTGGGTGGGGTAAGGCAGTCACGCAGGGCCTCAGGCCCCTCCCTGGGACAGATAAGGACCTCTCTGGGTGCAGCCACCGGAAGGGTTGTTGGAGAACTGGGGAGACCCAGGGGGCTGGGCTTGCTCCCTCAAGGTCTCCCTAAAGGAGCCAGGGAGGACCTGGGTGCTGGAGCAGGGGTGGGCGCCTGGTGCAGATGCCTGCATGCAGGGTAGGGTGGGCAGTGTCACCTGGGGCCACAGAAAAACCTCGAGTGGGAGGTGGTCCTTCCCCCTCAGAAAGGATGGTGGAGGTGTCCAGCGGTTGGCTTGTGGGGACCCATGGTGAGATTTTAGGCAGGCAAGCATAGTATAGGAACAGCCTCAGCCACACCGCAGGGGCCTGGCCTCAGGGGTCTTTTGTAGACATTGGGCCTCAGGCCCTTTTAGTCCCCACCTAGGCTGGGTGTCGAAAGCAGGTGAGGTCATCACTATAGGATCCTTGGGGTCTGACTGGCCCGCCTCCCACGTGTCTCTGCCTCAGTTTCTCTGAGCACTGAGGCAGTGGCTGGTGCTGCCCTGTGGTCAGGCCCAAAGGCTGAGTGCCCAGAGGTCCAGAGAGAGTGGGTAGCATATTCTACCCCAAGCCAGTGCGCGCACAGGGCTGCCGACACCTTCCTTCCCTGCTTGGCCCCGGAAACTGGGACCGGCCTGAACCGCTCTCCGGCCTGATCCCGTGGCCAGTTTTGTGCCACACACTTACTTCCTCAGTTTTGTCTTTAAATCAGCCCTTTTACATTGGAGTCCATTTACTGGGAAAAAAGACTTGGTATCCTTGCCTCCCACCCGTGGAAAGAAGCTGACAGGGCTTTGGGACCGGACCCAAGTTTATTCCCAGTGACCTTCCCGCGGGTGGGCGTGCTCCGAGGTCTGGAGAAGAGGAGGCCCCGGCCCTCACCCTCTAACACCTGCGTCCCCTTCGTCCTGGCCACAACTGCAGCTTCTCCCGAGAGGCACTTCTCCAGTGCCCGCCCCGCGCCCCCAGCCCAGCGATCCCGGCCTCTGCCCCTGACCCGCACTCTCCTTCACCCTCAGGAGCGCTCGGCCCTGC